ACACCCCCCCCCCTCCTCATCTGGGCCGGCTGCCTCTGCTCTAGCCGGAGGCAAGATTAAGCTGAAAATGATGCTAACACTGTCAGTCAGGTCCAGTCTAGGCATGATGTTGTTCATGTCAGCAGCAGACACTTAACAAGGACAGGAAGTATAGGAAAGAAAGGGAGTCGTACTCGTGCAAGTACAACACGATTCTTTCAACTCCAGATTAGTCTTCCATCCAAGGGGCTTCAGAATTCAGCTTGAAATAAAATCAAAAAACAGAAGATGATCAAGTCACACCTGATGGAGCAACATCTACTGATTTTCTTTGTATTTTTTCCTCCCATTCCTGAGGGGAGGGAAGGGGGAAGAAGTGTACTTATTCCGCAGTAGCAGTGGCTCTGTCAGGGGTTCACGGTTACCAGGGTACCAGCTCCAAGGCTAGCCCTCTGATCTTGACTATAGAAAACAAATACACCTGGCAGGGCAGCGGATATCACCAGGCTCCAGCTTGAACAAGCATAGTGAGCCCATATTTTCAAACAGTGCCGTACACAGTTATGGAGAAATACATGGCAATTTCAGAGCCAGAATTAGAGCCAGGAAGGATGTCCATGGCTACGTGAATGCTTCTTTTATTTCATTTTCCCAGTAGGAATAATCTCAAAAGAAGAGTTTACCCCACCACATATTTGAAAGAACTTCTGTGATTTTTAAGAATGTAAAAAGCTAAAATCCTTTTCTGTATAGCCTAAGCTGTCCTAAACATCATGAATTTCTAGTTACAGGGTTAATGGTTACTACATTTAAAGCACAAATAGGAGAAACCTGAATATGTTCACCAGTCTGAAGGACACCACTATTTCCTTGGAAAGCAAGAAGTAAAGATCTTACCTTGGCTGCTCGAAGCAGCATTTCACGTTCCTCTTCAGCCTTTCTCTGCTTTTCTAGGTGATCAAGCTTTTCAAGAAATCTCAGCTGTGCTCTGGTGTCACTAGATACGATGTACCTATCACTCCCCTGGAAAGAGAAGTTTGTTATAGACAACCAGGCTTTTATACACACCACTAGAGCTAATAAACGCAATGTGAACAATCTGAAAAGAGTAACACTTTTTCAAAGCTGAAAAGTGTAGGGTGTTTTAGACAGACTTCGGGTGGTAGTAGTCATTTACACATCTCCTCTCCACTGCAGCATGTTTCTTGGCATCTGTGACTAGTAAGAGGTTATTGAACAAGTGACATTAACAACATTTAGTCTATATCGACTATAACAACATTAAAGATTTTAGTCTAAAAGATAAAATTTTGTTTTAAACAGCAACTTCATATCTAGTAAACATATGCACAACACTATCTTCTGGACAGATTAAGGGGAAAAATAGAATTGTAAAGCAGCAGAACATCACATCCTTTCCCCTTTAAAGAGAGAGAAAAAAAAAATTGTATTATAAGCTTCTAGTTTCAGCCATTGAATCCAGCATTTGAAATAAGTATCATCTGGTATTTCCAAAAAGTGGTGTTATGGAGCGGAAGGGTGGTTTAGAACTAGTTATAATGAATCTTGGGGGTGGGGAAAGTGAGATAAATTATGTAAGGTTTATTACAGCTTTAGGAATACATATTTTTGCCTCAGTGGATGCTCTCAAGTCATAGAAAAGTCTGTGTCGAAAGAAAGGTGACCTGTGGAAGTCATCTGGTCCAGCCCTCTATACAAAGCTGGGCCAGTGAATACCAATGACTAGTTCCAACAATAACGGGACATGCATGCATTGAAACAAGACTAGAGATGTCTTGGTCTAAAAACCAGCAAACAGTAGTCTATTTTACACAATATTTTTTCCCTCACTGGAAAGCCTGAGTTTAGTTTTACTTTCGACTGGAAAGAAGACAGAGAAAGGAAAGATCAGAAGTGTGGTCAACTGGCTTGCTTTTACTATTCTGCTCTTCCAAAGACAGGCTATTTAAGCCATGCGTTGGCCTGAAGGCAGTAGGCAAAACAAGGCATGGAGCCCATTTTAGATGAGGCACATCCGTGCCACCTACTTGTACCACTAACACACTGCTCTAGAGTCATCTTCTTTCTCTGTCACTTTGTGAACTCGTCTTTTCTGGAGAAATTTATCCTTGGGCTTTTACCAGCCAAACACACTATATACTTTCAGCAACTCTTTTGTCTACACTACCCCAATCTCGCACTTTAATGAAGCAACCTTCACATACAACTATTCTGGAATAAGCACAGCATATTTTACAGCTGTATTTTAGGCAAGGGTATATTTAACTGTATGGACTGTCAGTGACTTCAGTTGCTAAATTTTTAGTTTTCAAAGACACCATACTCAAACACTTCCATCCACACCCAGTCATACACTTTTAAAAGCTGGAAGGAAAGTAAAAGCCTTCTTGTGGGGCATCGTTGTCTCCCAATCTGAATTCTCACAACCCAGCCAGAGCATGAAATCAATCCTTCTTCTGGTATTCTTTCTCAAGCAGAGTCTGTGGCTCTGCAAAAAAAGTCCAAACATTTGCCCCCTCTTCTGTTACTGCTCGAGATAATTTTTTTTACTGCTCCCCACAAAACATTAAGAGATTACTTTGAGTCAGTCTCAGTACATTAGTACAATTTGTTTTGAAGCAGCAGTTAATAATACACCACCATGTCACAATCCTTTTAAAGGGACAAAGAAGAAAGTCATATTACCAGATTATTTTTTCTGAAGTTTAGAAGTGTTTCTCATTGGAATGCCCAAAGTCAGCGTTAGATACTCCAGTTTTTAAAGCCAAATCCAAGACTCTATGCCAATTGGAAATACAAGCCTTTCAACCAGAAGCACCCCAATGCACTACCATGAGCTTATATGGGACAAGAAATGGGTGCATTCATAACAGTAATAAAATACTCATTTCAGGTCTTTTTCGAAGAGGAACACCTGCAGTTGTATTTTGTCCTACTCATTAAGCTTGTTCTCTGTGATCATCTAGCACTGAATTGCTTAGACAGAAAACATTATATTGTATACTTGTTCATAACTCATAGCCAATGCTGTTATGACAAAGCCAGTTGGTTTTGTCCATATAACAGTTTAAACTTCCTCACATAAGACCAAACTGTCCCCAGCTACAACAGTGCAATCCCAACAAAACTGATGTTACAAGCGTAACTGAGAACAGAAATTAACGTAGTGATAAATAAAGCACATAACCACAATACAGAGTGTGGTTAGATTTGTATGTGCCAAAGATGAACTTGTGTATCTGACAGCTAAAAAGTTGTTTTTACTAACTGAGCTAAATTTAACCCAGAGTTCACTTCGCTATCCTGAAAGAAGCTATTGCTTTCACACAACAATAGCACATTAGTGCATCTATACAAACTTGTTATGAAATTCATTCCTCCACACTTTTTTTCTTCTTCAAGACCTCTCTGTGGATGCGCTCTAAAGCACAGGCAATTCCTATCAAAATTTTTATGTTGAGTTTACACTGAAGCAAAGCATTTCCAGGTATGCCTTTAGTGAGAAGAAAGCTAGCAACAATTTCAAGAACCGCCATACGCCTTGTCTGCACTATGCACCCTCCGTCCGAGATTGTCACATGCCTGGAAATGAATCTGAAACTTGACTAAGGCACTTGTGGTTTAGCACCAGGAAGGTATCGCATGTCCAGGGGCACAAAGGTAAAACCCACGTACATGGAAGTTGCGCTCCACTTCAGTCCGCCAGGAAGGAGTTGGAAGAATCCCACAAAGACCAGTTGTCCCACGAAATCTGAACAGTTTAAGTCGCATTGAACAGCTTTGCTGGGGACAGAGCAGGAACACAGGCAGCTGCAGAGGCTCAGCTACTACGTGGGAATCTATTAAGCTTTGGCTTTTCTATAGTCAACCCCTAAAACAAGCTAATAACAGAAAAGCTTCAAGTTACTGCTGCACTCCGCAGCGTGATGGCAGCACAGGGCGAGTAGGAGGGCACTGGCTGTTTGCACTTCTCGGAGTGCTCGCTCCTTCACACCATTCAGAGCTTACCCCGAAACCAATGCAGCTGCCACACCACATCGTGCTACAGACAGTGCGGTTTGGCGTTGCAGTGTTTTACTGCTGCTGCACACGGGGAAAACGTTTTCACGGAAGAGTGTTTGTAGCACGGTACCACCGCATGCCTCTCGAAGCCACGTGCTCACGGGCCCCAAACACAGCAGCCATCTCACACTGTGCTGAATCCACCCGCATCAAAAACTGATTTTTAATGACTGTACTGTTCAGTTGTCACAATTAATTCTGGTCTTTGGTATCATGTTGTGTCACATGCATACTCTTACACCTCAGCAGTTCTCCAGATTATAGGAAGGAGGCAGCTGAGGAACAAAATTAGCTAGCTAATTGCCATTATGGTCTTAACCAAGGCTCTACAAAGGTACTGTAAGAAGAGTCACAGCACAGAGAGCAGTTTACAACAATCTGAGAGACTATTCCTACTTCAGATAGAGACCACCATCATTGTTTAATCCTAATTAAGTTAGTAACTTCCAATTACATATATATGTATATATATATTTTTTTTCTTATTTTTAGCAAAAAAGGGCAACAAGTTGGCAAGTCTACACGGTGGCATGGTATTAAGCTTTTATCACACCAACTCACTCTGTGCAAGGGCTGCCCATCAGATGTAAGCTGCTAGGCATGAGCTGAGCAAACTGTGAAGAACAGTTTCCTGAATACAATCCCATGAATTATTGGCTTTTTACACCAACTTCTACCCTAACAATAGTTATCTAGGTTTCACCACACCTCTATCCCTATTACTGTCCATCTTTTTATAATGAAAATAGGCCAGTACAAAGCCTTACACGGCAACTACCCAATCCTCTTGGGAAGGCTCTAGGTAATTCTCTTGAATTACACTGAGCCCACATTGCACACTGGTACCTGTTGATGGACTAGAGGGAAAGCTAAGATCATCAAGTCCAACCATCCACACAACACCACCATGCCCACTAAACCACATTCTGAAGTGCCACACCTACACATTTTTTAGACACCTCCAGGGACGGGGACTCAACCACCACCCTGAGCAGCCTATTCCAGTGCCTGACCGCTACTTAAATACATCACAGGGCTCCAAAACCCTGTAGTGTTCTGTTCTTGAACTTAAGATTTCTAAAAGCCTGTCAGCATCTCTCACAATAATACTAGTCACAAACGCAATCCTGTAGGACACTCCTCTGCAGTGTAATACCATCTTCCTACTGAAAGAGGGTACCTGTGCCTCTAGGATTATTATCCCCATTATCTTTCTGTTTGTTTTTGAGAAAAGTAGAAAAGAAAGAAAGCTTATTGCAGTCTTACAATTTTATCATTGCTTCTGGCAACTCAATCAGACAAAAACCTATCAGTTTTTCTATTGCTTTAGTTCAATGAGAAAGAAATCAGCCCTATCAAGCCCACTGTCCAAAACCATTCCCTTGTGTCTTTATTGTCTGCAAGATACTAAGTCCTACTGGTGACTCAGGACTGCAGCTTCCACCTCTCTTTTGCTCACGAGCTCTATTGGATCTCCCACATTGCAGAGACAACACAGAACATGTGCAGATTTCCAAAGACTTCTCCTAAAATACTCTGTACTTTTTCTGTATTAGCTTTTTTTCTACTGCATCTTCTTCTGGCAAGGAACAGCATTTTCCAACTGCTCCAGACATCACTATAAATACTTGGAACTTTCTAAATAGTTCCTGCTCTTTACTATTGCTTCTCCAGTGCTTAAAACCCTATAAAAAGTGTTCAGTACAAAAATAACTCCTACCCCATCAGTTAGTTGCTCTTGTTAAATTTCACAAAGTATAACATACCTGTAAAAAAAAAAAAACACAAAACCACACCCAAACAAACACAAACTTGAGTTGACATATACATCTGCTTCTAACTTCCAACTTTTTTTCTAAAAACAGCTTGATACTAAAAAAATGTAAGAACTAATATCTTATTATTGAATGACAAAAAGCAAGCCTCAAAGAGCTATTTCAGCCACCAGTAAGTTATTGCTTCACACTTGCATCATACAAGCATCTTAAGGGATACTGGCTCACTGGAACTCAATATATTTTATAATGAATGAAGCTAATATAAGAGGGAGGGGAGGGAATCTTAAGTAGCACTGGCAGAAAAAAAGTTCTGGAAACTTTAAGATCAAACGGGTCTCTGCCTTCACATGGAACACTTTCTAAAAATAAAAAACTCATTTCAGTTTCCCAAGCTTTTTACTGAGCCAATACAGCAGTTCCACCAACAGTAAATGCATAAAGCAAATACAAGCTCTTAAATCAACCGGACCACCAAGCGCACTCAAAAATAGCTTTACATTTACCGTGCAAGACAGATCTTGTATAACAGGCACCACTTCTATGGAAGACTAGAAACGCATGCATTCACTCTTTTGCTAGGTTTTAAGAACACCTACCCAACAAGTCGAATGGAAAACGTAAGGAATAGTTAGAGGCTATAAACAGTTAAAAGAAAACAGCCTTTGGTAGATATTGAAAACGCACATATAGCACATGATGTGTCTATACTTGGAAGAGGTTTACCTTCAAGGCTGCAAAGCAGGAAAACTTTGGTGCAAAACTTGCTTAATGATTTCCTTTACCTTGTGGGTTGATACTCTGTGCTGAGCAATTACAGTTAGTTTTTCTAGGAGCCCTCGTAATCTCTCCTGTGTAGCGTGGGAGATCAAGTTCACAACATCAGAGTTAAGTTCCATAATGTCATGCCTTTTACCTGTGGAAGCAGAGAAAATCCATTACGTGTTTTAGTAGTAGCTGATAATTGAAATAATTAGCACAGCAGGTATTCTGTTCCCCCTGGAAGTCATACCCATTATGAATAAAGGTTTGGAGATTATGATTTTCCTGGTAAAGTCACAACTTCAAAGATCTTAGACATTACATTAATAAAACTTAGCCTGGAGCTTCAGAAAATATAGACATTGTTTCACTTAGCCTCCAGAACCACTCTCCTTGCAAGGTCATTTATAGGACAAAGTTAATAAGAACACAAATCAAGCTTCATGTTCAGGGAGGGGGAGAAGCGGTAGCTGTAGAAATTAGTGCCATATTCTGTTAATTCCAGTAATTAAAAAAAATAGAGAATTACATTTTGCCCTGCTTGACACCATACTTGTTAACAACTCATGACATTTATTCGATGAGCAGGGACTGTTTCTGCAGCGCACTCCAGGCACACGGGACCCTCTCACGTGCCTCGACCAACCAGCACGGGGCAGACAGACCCCACCATCCCACGGCAGCAGCTTGGACACCACCGATGAAGTCCAGCCAGGGTCATCACGCCATCACCTTCAACCTTTTCTCTCGGGCTGCTGCTGCCTCTCTGCGGCCCTCCCCACCCTCCCTGCCGCTGCAGGCTGCTGGCGGAGAAGCCTTCCTGTGGGTGACACCATCGATCACTCAACACAACTCCGTCAAGACACCTGGGTGGCAGCAGGTCTTCCCCGGTAGACATGGCAGGCAGCAGTTTCACACACACTTACTCAATACGCCGTACCCATCAGAAGCGCTTTTCCTTGCCCCTCACTGCATTTACAGCGGCTGTAATACTTTATGATGCAATATACAGCACGCCTTCAAAACCCATATCAGTATTTATTGCCAAGTGGAGTGTTAAGAATGGATAAACAGTACTCTAAAAAAAAACTAATCACCTATTTCATTTGCCTTTGCTACTCTAACTGAAAACTAATAACAATCTCACAAGACAGGGAGAATCTACAATGTTTTCCCCGATACGACCAAAGGGTTCCCACTGTTTGATCTTGGCGAGCAAGCACTGGTCTGTTTCTCAGCTGAGTGCAACGCTCGTTTTGCTCAAGCGCCTTTCAACACTTCCTCAGCAGTTTCCAACTACACTATGAGAATACTGAAACATCAACTTAAAGACAAAACAAAATCCCTCCAAGCCTCAAGACCTTCCCACACACACTTCCTAAACCAAAGAGGGCTTGGTTCAAGAGCAGTAGCATTTGTTTTCTGAGCTGCTGTACTCCCTGACAGCATTCCTTTCCTTGCAGTCAAAACACTTTTCATTTAAGACATGAATTATCATCATCATCATTATTATTATTAATCATGTGGAACAGCTACCAGGTCAGCCATGAAACAGCCAGGCTGTATTTTCTGTCTTTCAGCGAATTGTCTTCACACCTCAAACTAGACAATTATTTATGTTTTTGTAGAGCTCTATTTTTCCTTACATCTACTTCCCACGGATGACTGGTTAACCCTCCACTGAATTTTGAGAAAAGCTTCTGGGCTCCAGTTTCAATGTGTATTTTCCCTTTTCCACTAGTAGCACAGCACACATTTCACTCAGCTACGCCCCACACAGCTCAGATGGCACATCCAGCTAACTAGTGCAGGGTGTACTGAGATAGCAGATAGCATTTGCAGGCTACATGCTCGTCACAAGCGAGCTGCTCAGTTTGGACTAAGAACAAGATCTGTGTAGACAGACTTTGAGATCACGTGGTTAAACCACTGTGACAGAATTATGACTGCACATACGAACTGCAGGCTTTCCTGAATGCTTAGGTGTAAAACTCACTGTTCCAGTATGGCAAGCTACCAGGCAGAGAACAGGAGCAAGGAGTTGAGCAACATCCATCCAGTTTGCTGTAGACAGCAGTGGGATCAATTGGTGTGGTGCTATACAAATGCGCGCTCCCTGCTCTGACATCATACAACATTGCTAAGCAACAGTTATTATTTTGCTCAGAAACTAACAGCTGAGATGATATATACACTAAAAACTTTATATCACAGTTTAGTCTCAGCCATTCAATATACATTCCACGGTGTTATTCACTGATACAAACAGCTTTAACATCTCTTTCATATAAAATTAGTGAAAGATTTTTCCATAGAAGGAGTTGTAAACCAAGGTCTGCCCTTTGTATATTGGCAGTTTGAAACTTCTCCCTAATCCCATGGGCAGAATCTGCAATGTTGGTCAACAGAGTATATGTATCTGAACACGCTGAGGCATGCAAAGCCTGTTAGGAAAGTCAGTGTAATGCATGAAGTTAGGAGCTGCAGAAACAGAAAAGTACATTTAAGTGTTCGATTTCACATTAGCATCTATATGGTTGTTACGTGTTCCATTAAGAATAATAAAGTTGCTCAGTCCTCACATGTAAAAGTGGCACCAATATCTTTTTTCTGGTTGTGCTTCAGACTATTTCCATGTAAAAAGACATGTTAAAGAACGGTTGTTGCCTAGAAGGGGAAGTAAAAACTCATTACAGCTTGGTGGAAACACATGAATTGAGATGGCAGATCTTAATAGTTCCAGCTCCGCCTTCAAAGATGGGAGGCTGGCTGATGAAACAGGCAAGGAAACAATACATCCATACATATCTGTTACATATGCTTTGTTCTCACCTATGTTCAAGATCTTCTCCCGAAGCACTTCTGAGGAGAGAAAAGGTTGATCTGCACAAGAGCGGATCACTGTACCAATGAGCTCAGAGTTGGTTGCTAAAATGCACGCATTCTCCTCGTTAAGATTGACCCCAGCCATAGAAGTCACATCATTTATGTCATCTTCATCTCTACCAAAGAGAGAACCAACATTTTATGCTTTGTTCAGAATAGATACAAAGAAAAAGCCTCTCAACTATCAACAAACAGCCACATTCACATACCTTGGAAGCTATCCCTATACGAAAGATGTTTAGTGTGCATGTGGACAGGACAGACAGCTCCTAAAAGCTTTCACACTCTAGTGAAGTGTCTCTCAAACATTAGCTTGACTAATGTCTCAGTTGCTAGCCATGCAAATACTTCTCATGAAATTGAAATTTTGAACAAGCTCAGAAACCAAGGACAGATAACCCTGGATTAAAAGTCCCTGCAAGCACTTGGTTCCTGCACCACTGCTCTTACAGCCTGAAATTTGCTCTAAAACTTTAATTCATCAGGTAGAATCGAGTGTTGAATAAAGTTGAGTAGTGACTCACCAACCTTATAAACAAGCCCATTTTCTGAGATGCCTATCCTATGAACTGAAGCTTATAGCACAGGAGTATTAGCACAAACCTGATCTTCACTTTTCTTCTAGTGAGTTCCCTTCAAAAATAAGATACAAACACTCCTTGTCAGCAGTACACAGAACCAACCAGACCTTACCCTTTGAATCAGTCCTATCACACAATACTCAGGTACATAGCGGGGAAGATTCTGTACTTCTGAAGAACAGGGTCAGAGCTCTAGTTCTTAACATCCCTCTGGTAGCTGGATTCTGCTGTAGTAGCTTTGGTCTACATGTTCAAAATAAAAACTCAGGTCTGGCATATTTAGGGCTAACATAACTAAGACTAGGTATAATGGCAAAGCTCATGGTAAGCAAATAGCCTGTGTGCCTCAGCTTTTTAAAAAGAAAAGATCATTTCAGCTAAAATACTGAATTAATTTTATATGGGAAAAGTTTTTGCAAGACTTCAGCAATGAAAATACCCAAGGTACTTTCAATTCAGTTTAGATCATCGAAAGAAAGCCTTTTTTACTTCCCAAAGTGCCAAAGGCCCTAACGGCAGCTCGGATCCAAGGGTTTAGAACCAGAACACAAGTCAGCATTACTAATACAGATGGGTGGAAGCACTCAATCTGAACATCTTTTGATTTGGAAAACAACAGAAAACCAAAACCACCACCCCCACCCCTCCCTGAAAAGTATTCACTGGCAAGGTTTGATAAAGTTCATCTTCAGAAAACACTGTGTGGCCTATGTTAACTTTTGAACAAGGGGTTAGTCAGAAACTTGCCACTCTTGGGAGAAATGGGATCTCTTGGAGGCTGTATTCTGACTGGCAACAGGTAGAAGCTGAAGTTAGTAGAACGCAGGCTGAGTTAGAGCAATACTCAAAAGACACAGAAAAGTGTTGGGACTTCTTCTTAAACTATAGATGCATTTCTCTCCTTTGGGCTTCAATAGGTTCCTATGGCACAAGTCTTCTCCCAGAAGTTTGAAAGCAAAGCCTGGCTTGTAAAGGAGTCCAGCCTTCCCCACTACTCCTGCCATTTGTTTGTGTTCCCTCATGGCTAGGAGTTTCTATGTGATTTGTTCAGGGAAAAGGAGGCTCAGATTCTTAAACCAGCTTCATTCATTAAGTCTAACTAGACACAGCTTCCTGACTAGGTTTGTGCCCCGAATTCGTTGTGCTAAGAAAAGCGTTAAACCCTAGGATTGTCAGAATGGTTAAGTGATCACAGTTACGATTCAAAGCTGAAGTCACCATTGCCAGAACAGCTTCCCTCCTCCTACCCCTTCACAACCACCAACTGAGCAGTTCCAGGCATATATTCATGCTCTATCAGCCTAACAGAGACCCTGATCTTTCAGGAAGCGTGTAAATGAAGCTGCACTGCATGCTAATTGAGTGCTAACTGATCTTCACAAGTACACTCCAGTTTCCTCTTCTTAACAACCACTACAGAGAAGTCTTTTGCTGGCGGCAGAGACAAGAATCCCACCGAAGCACAGTGACTGTCACTGATCTGCTGATAAAGTAGATGACAAAATCAGCACAACTAGCACCAAGAACATACATCACAAGCTAGCAGAGCTACAGATGCTGGAACCTGACATTACCCCGATGGAGCTGTTTGTGGAATTCAAGTAAGGATGCTTGCACCTCATGGACAACTGTATAGTGCTCAGTTTCAGTACATCATTTTAGCTTTTAATCTGGGCACTTACTCAAAATACTCAAGCAAGAGGTAAACCCCTATGCTATACATCTAACCACCTTTCTACATACACAATTTTCAATTCTCTAAAACCAGCCTTTATCAGGTTACTATTTTCTTCAATATTTCCATGCACACAGCCTCTCCTGCGAGTACACACAGACAAGAGCTTGTATGCAAGTAGACACCTCTACCTGTACTGTTTTTAAGGACCAGTTCTAGCTTCTCCACTTTGGGATATAAGCTTGCAATAAGTCACCCAGTCACTAGCCTTGATGAAAGATTAATTTGCATATATGAAAACACTGCTGCACTTATTATATTTAACCCAAAGAAACCATCATTACTTTTCCTTAGCAGTAGTGCTCACTAAAGATTAATGTAAGTTTCAGAAGCCATGTTAAGTTTGCACTTCTTCTATTCTTTTTTCTTTGCTGGTCAAACAAACCTCAGTCATTTTAAGTGAGGTATCATGTACTTCGAATAAGATATAAAAATCATTCTATTAAAGTGATAAATTTAAAATATTCCAGAGTATACATGCAGACCCTTTCTGTTGGATACGGACTTCCTTTCATCCTCAGCAATCCCTCCATAAAGCCCTTCTACACCTCTTCCTGTAATGCTTTTTGCATTTGATCATGTCACACCCAAAAAAAAAAAAAAAAACCCCCCCCAGCCGTTATAAGCCTCCAGTGATTTAAGCTATCAGGACAAGAGGGAAAATAGAACACAGTTCTGAGCATTACCCTGCATGAAGTCAGGTTTGACATTTATACTGAATATTCCACTGGAAAAGAAGCCCAAGCAATGCAGATGCACCTCTCATCTATGAGTTTTCCTGTACCGGCTGAAAAGTGAGTCTGTGGCACCCTCTGGTGTTTGACCAACGCACATCTCTTCTCAATCCATCTTTACTCCATTTTATGTAACAGTCAAAGTGAAAACTAGAAAGGCACATGTAACCCAAACCTCCACACACCACCACAGGCAACTGCATGTGACAGAACAATTCCAGCAGAGCAAGAACCACCAGCGCTCCCCACCACCATGGGGCAGGAGGAGCAGCTGCCCAGATGTTCTCCACTCTGCTGTCTCGCTCCTGTTTGCCAGTTGAGATCACTGGTACCTTCCAGGCAAAACACACAAGTCAGAGTTGTATGTGCTTTGGAGAACAACTCTATTAAATAGAATAGATGCAAAAAACCCCAATATTTGAAGATGCAAATACATGTCTTAATTTTTCTGAGGTGCTCTAGCATACACTTTACAGAAGTATGTAGAGCAGTTTATAAAAATCTTGATGCTTTTAAAAGAGCCTACCCTTTACAATACATGCCACGGTGCAATCAAGTGCCAGTGACACCCATGCTTCGCTGAAACCTTCTCATTTCTAGAAATTTTTTTTTTTAATTGGTGGGTGGGGATCACCTTTTTTCCTACTACTTAAATCAAGCAACCAAAACAGCCCATTAAAGTGCAGACAAGGTCAAATTGCAGCTTATTAAGTACAGCTTAGTGAATATCATGCTCTGGATTCCTAACCTAACCTAGACACACAACAGCAGTCAGGCTTGATGACATACTGCAACGAGAAGGCACAATCACATCAGTTACAAGATATGCTCTTTGTCTATTACAAATCTCATCACAAAACCTGAAAGGGGACCATGGTGCTTCTCTGTCTCACAAATGCTCAGCTAATTGATGGATCCCAGGTCAAAGAACAGCTCTGCTGGGAAGAACAGAAGCCAGGACAGAAGAGAGCAAGGCACATCTTTTGCCCAGGCCAGATTAACATTTTGTGGAGCTTGGAGAACACAGATACTTGACCTAGGGAAGCCAAAAGTTCACATACATGCTGCCCAGGATACGTAGTTTTTAAAGTCAGAAAGTTTGGTTATACTGGTGAATAGGAGAAGCACCAAAGATGTATCCAAAGAGATAAATCCTTCAGAGAAGAGACTTACTAGAAAAATGTAAGGTGAGCTAGAGATTTCAAATCTGAATTATCATGGATTTATGCTACTTTGACAACCATATTTAGACTACGGGAAAGATGAGAAACCTGTTCTACTGGGGGCTGACAGGGTCCATCCAACAGAGAAAGGGAAAAGCATCTCTGGTCAGAGCCTTGCCAAGCTGGTGAAGAGGGCTTTAAACTACAGATGCCGGGGGAGGGGGACCTCAATCCATCCCACTGCGCCCAGTCTGATGCCAGGGCCAGCAGTAGATGACCAGAGCCTGGAGAAGGATCACAGGTCAGCAGGAGAGCACCTCAAGGGCAGCACAGAGGAACTCCAGCCAGTAAGTCGGCTCCATCGGAGCCCCAACTGAAACACCTCTGTGCAAACGCACACAGATTGGGGAATAAATGAGAGGAGTCAGAGACACGCGCACGCCTGCAGGGCTATGAGCTCCCTGGCATCATGGAGATGTGGTGGGATGGCTCCTGTGACTGGAGTGCTGGAATGGAAGGCTCTTTAGGAAGGACAGGCAGGAGAGACATCCCAAATTATATTCTGAAGCATATTTCATAAGAGCTTGAAGGAGCTGAACAGAGCTGTTAACGTCAGCTTTCCGTTCCATCTTCTGGCTACCAACGTTTTAAGTGTCCAGTGTACACTAAGTTACTGTAAATAACAACAGCTCTCTGTCTATATCAGTGCACACAAAGCTGTAGCTTTCAAGAGATGAGAAGTCAAATGGTCAAGATGACAAAGCTGTCATGTCTGCTTTTATCCCTGGAAGAGTAACTTCAAGATGCCTTAAGGTTGTAAGACCAATACTGCTTACAGCAGTCTGTACCTCTGTTTCAGCATCACATTTGGAGATACAAATGTAATTTCTGCCTTTGAAAAGTTCATCAGTTACCAGAACTAAAAGCTTTAAGCATTCTTGTAATCTAAAGGCCTAGAGAATATGCCAGAAGCCATAATTAGAGGCACAGTCAAAGACTTTCACCTCTACATACAGGAACAAGCTCGTAAGAGGAACTAATAAAAGATTTCATAATACAGCAGAGAGCTTTAGACAGGTTACCAGTCAGTCCAAATAACAGTTCAATGCTGTCTGGTGGTCTGTGAAAAATACAGGGCATATCTGCTTTAATTCTATGGAGGGCCTGTAATACATGGTAACTTTGCTTTAGATTAGCTAATAGCGCTCACAGAATGGAGATCAACATGCCTCCTCTACAAGCAAAAAACTGATACATATTGATGCACACTGTTTGTATAATTACACTCCTGCGGTAGCATGATGAAAATCCAACCTCATCAGGACAGTTTTCTCATATTAAGAATAACAAACATCTGCTACGAGGTCAAAATTTTTGGGTTCCCCCTTGCCAGCTAGTATTCTAACATGAAAACCACCTGTCAAACAAGTCTCTAAAGAAAATTGCTTTTATCTGGGCTCTGTTCCCACCTCTATCCTTGCTGTCTGTTCCTTTTGTTCCTTCCTATAGTAAACTTCTGATATTGTTTATTTTTACCTGAAGGATGTTGCTCCATTCTCTTTTATTTTAGCCTTCTGAAGAGGAGATGCTTGAAGCGACAGAATTTTATTTCCTGGCAGGGTAATTTGTTTCAGAATGGAACCTAAAACAAAATAAAGAACAAGCCATAGCAGAAAGCAAAATGCTAAGACAACTGTTTAATCACTGCACACTTCTAGCAAAGGCTCCTGCAGACTCAATAACAACTGATCAAGTCCAACTGAAAACCAGATGCTCTAGTCTCTTGCATTCCGGACGTTCTGTATGGCCAAAAGCCCTACATGTTCGCAAACACCCTCCTCTGTGCTGACCAATGAAAGGTTTTCATGAAAACTAGCTGGTCAGGAAACTCACATTATGCATCAGCCTGAATCTGCTGAAAGAAAAAGCAAAGTCTCACAAAGCGATTCTCAAAAGCATCACGGTTTAAAGGAATTTTACTGCAAGGAGCTTACTCACAGTATTTTAACAAGTAAAAATGTTTGATTGACATGCTTTTAACAGGTGTTAGAAGTAGACATGGCACTGAGTTTCTTATCAGAACTCCAAGCAGACAGTAAAAACATTCAACTTCTCACACAGAGCTGGTTGCTCCCGATAAGACAACCACCTTCTTACATCCCTACAATCTACCAGCAGCCTGCACTCATTTCTATACCTCAGTAGTCCTCTCCCTTCTCTATTAAAGAGGTTCCACTGTACCTGCAGGAAATTGGCTAGTTTGAACAAGCGTATTCAGCGGCATCCTTTTCTCAGCAGATGTCTGCAGGGTCAGCGCTGAGGGTTGCGGGAGTGTGGATACTTGCTTTACAACAGTTCCTGATGGTTGCTGGACTACCTGGAAGTGGAATATCCAAAAGCAAGAGTGAGAAGGCTAAACACAGAGAGAAGTAAACAGCATCAACATGTTCAGCCAGCCAGAAGTGCCACTGGGCATGCATGCATGTCTAGCTTTCAGTTTAAAGCAAATAGCATGCTCAGGAAAAAAAAAAATAAATTTTTTTTTTACTTCATGACAAGAAACAAAGTCTTAACAACTGGTGGTGAGCTTTAAGCTCCAGCTCATTCAGTGAGCTCCAACAGACACTTCACCCCTACATGCTATTGAGAACTATATTGTAAGAGTTCCACCGAGTAGTACACAGTCCATTACACGAAGAGGCTTTCTTCTCCGCAACTCTCACTTAACTGACTAACAATTGAATATTGAGTCTGCCTGCCAACAAGTTCAAAAGCATAGGTATCACATACACCTCGTTAAAAACAACACCAAAACAAAGAGGTAGAAGTCTTGCACGAAATCCTTTGCCTGTCAAGAATTAAGAGTACACACTATAGAGTTACTACCGCATTTTTGGAGCTGCAACAACAATTGTAAATTTGGATGCTGAGTTTCAAAGTGTTAAGCAAAAGCACACTGAACACATCAGCGAGCAGGAACATCAAGTACCAACTAGCAACACCTATAGCGAGCAGAGTCTCTACACAAAACCATCAGTACGCTGCTGAAGGGTAAAAAGGAAGGGGGTTGATAGTTTTGTTTAAAGTGGCGCTCGAAAGAAACAAAACCAGACAGCAGGATGTCACCACGGCACACACCTACCTACAGGCACAGCCCATGAATACTAATTCTTCCTCTTCAGGGGTAGCTATTAAAATGCAAAAAAGTAATAACATTGCAGCACCCCTAAAAGCCTCATTTCTAAGCCTCCTAGCTAGCAGGATGTGGGCTGTAACTTTTGATACATCCTTTGGAAAAGTTCTTGATTACAAGTAGTAGAAAGACATGCTTTTAACCAAAGCGCAAGATTATCAGCACCTTCAGACTGAATCCTACTTTTCCAGCAGCAAAAAGCTACTATGAAGGAATTTTCAGCATAAGGAAACCACTTTTTCTCCTCTACATCTTTTAATCTTACTTCAGAAAGTCTAAAGAGTGCTTGTACAGCAACACTGCACAAGTTTAATTAAACAAAGAATTGACATTTATTATACTTCAGAAATCAGACTGTCTCTTTCTGTCATCTAACTTCAGATTTATCAGTAAACATCATCAGTATAACACATTCATAAAAAGAAGTACTTCGCATATCAAATAGTCAAGACATACCCCACCCACCCCCATATTAACCTGCTAACAGCATCACAGTTTGGCATAGCAGCAGTAACCTACAACAACTGAGCTGAAGGTGGTGTTTGAAAACCAGACAAGGAACAGGCAGTTCTTGAGAAGAAATGTAAGATGCACATCTCCCAGCTTTTCATGCAGAGGAAGGAACCACGGGAGCACAGGGTCAAACTGCAGACAGAGTCAAGGCTCACACATGCAGCACTGCCTCACGAACTGGTACGCACATAAACATTTGCTTCTACATGTTTATGAAAACGTAATTTGCTCTTTCTGAAAGATCCAGCTTCCATACACCGGAAGTTGAAAATAACGTCAACAGCTTCATTTGTATGTTCAGATAATTACTGAACCACTGACCAGCGTGCATGAACTACCCGCAGGCTCTGTCAGCACCCACACTGACACACACCTAGAGATCCTCCCTACCACCAGCGAGAATGATGCTTCATATCCAGCACGCAGAACACTGAAACAGCACAGGAGGAAACATCAGCATTCAAGATGAAGGTGTAGCAGACAAAAAGAACGAGACAGCCAATGTTAAATCAATAGCCTAGGTGGAGATTGGGAAGTCAGTCAAGTAACTGAGCAGACTAGATCAATGAGAAACAGAAAGGATGTGTTGGCAGTAAAGCTGACTTTGTGTTTACTATTTTAGCTGCTAGACTAACAAAAGCTGGAAGTCCTTGGGACTTGTAACAGAACAGGGCAACAATCCTAGGAACTTTGGCAAGGATCTAATGCCAGGAAAAAGTATTAAGAAGAGCTATTGCCTCTTCAGGTTAGCAGCAAGAAGTAATAAAGAAAAGGGACAGTTCCTTTTTGCCCTGTTAAGTAGCCTGACAGAGACATCAGAATAAGAAGCACCAATACTCTTAAGTAAGAAAAAAAATTATAATGCAGTGTAACATCCAGCTGACAGCATAGGGACAGCTGCCTGGAGAGTCTTTGACTAGCCTTACTTGAACCTGCTTTGTATTCATAAAGCAAAGTTCGGAGATCAGCAGAGAGATGGTAAGGTATCACCACACACTACAAGCAGTATTGTTCACCAGCTGAATGCAAAAGCACACATCCAAGACAAAAAAACCTCTTGAAAAATAACAGAGGAGATTCTCTGCTCAAGAAAGCTCAGCTCCGAGGGGACTCGACATGAACAACTCCTCACTAAGAACAAGGGGTTGGAACAGCACAAGTACTTCACTCCTTGCTTCAATCACTGGCAATGTCCAAGGAGCACATCTCACTGGTAACTGTGGGGACTACACCATAAAACTTTTGCTCTTCATGCTTAACATGAAGTTGTCGCAAGCAGCTTTCTCACCATTGGAAGTCAGTGGTTGGTAAGGCAAATTTTCATTTATTGTGCTCTAACAAGAGACAAAGCAACACTACAGCAAGACAAGCTTTCCTTCCAAGATGAAACTTCTGTGCATGCCAATGCCCTTAAATGAGGCTGTCTTGGGAAAGTCACTGGGAGGGGGAACCTTGACCAACATGCAGCTCTCAGCCCAGATGTGTGACCAGCTCCAGTAGCAACCCTGCAGAACAGGTCCCTCGGTGCCCACCACACAAACCCAGAGTTTCAAGAATCATGCCACAGAAGAGAGTTACACGTTGCAGCACTCCGGTCACAGTTTTGATACTGAAATACTGCAGTGCTTCATTCTTAAGCAGCACCAACATTACACTGAAGCTGGCACATGAAAGTTCGCTTTACATTCCCAAGCGCAAGAGACCTAAATTAGAAATGGGCATGCAGAGGGAGTGTATGGCATCAGACAATCCTGCAGGCTGGAAAGGGAAAGAAATTGCTGGCAGCATTGTATGGACAGATTTGCACAGCTGGCATTTGCTTCCTTTCAGCTGGCAGCAGGACCCTTCTGTTTAGGGAGGGGAGGTCCAGATTTGTTTTCTTGTGGGAGGAAAACAGACCCTCTGTCCTTTCGAGGAAATGCACCAGGGAAGCCCTAGAAGATGCAGCCGCTTCTACTAACTTGCTGTTTGCACTAATAGGTTGTCTGAACTAACACCAAGCTCCTGATAACGGCTAAGCTGCGAAGCGGTCAACTCAGTCCTTCAACTGGCAAGACCAAAACTAAGTAAGTATTTTGAAGAGCAAGTATTTTCATCACTGTGCCTGAGATCTACCCAAATAAGGATAAAAACATGTTTTGCATGAAATTCAATGCTTGTAAGGCACAGTGCAGAAAAGCAATCTCAACAGGCTGCCATAGAGCAGTAGGAAAGGAGGCAGAAGTCATTTCTTGAGTTCACCAATATCATACTCAACAAGTGCTTCGAGTCCCCAGTGTAGAGTTAAGCTTCCTTGTCTATTTGTACAGATGGTCAGCCTTTCCCCTGGATTACATGGCTTGCTGTGTAGCCAACAAACTGTTCTCCACCCCTTGTACAACCTCAGAAGCCCTCATTTTCTTCTGGCTGAAATTTCAGATTTAGTCCTTACAGACAGTAAGAGTATCAACTCCTTTTCCAATTTGGCTTTAGCTACTACTATCGAAGACTGTTAGTGCATATGCTTCATAACTGTTTTTAAAACAAACCCACTCATAAAAGCGACCCTTCACCCCCTCCATATAGTTGACTGCTTTGTTCTTTTTAAGCAAATCTGAAAAAGTGAAAAGCTGGTAGCATAAGCTCTTTATTTAGAATGCAGGATTCTTGTATTACATCCACCTTATGCACTTCGAAAGAAAGAAAATCAAAAAAACCCAAACATTTCAAGGGTCTGAATACTGTTAAATAAAGTATACACACTAAACAAACTACAAAGGAAATCCACACACTGGATGCCCTACTACACCTGTGGAAAGTAAATCTGGCTTCATAGGAAGTCTAATGCTTTCCCCTCTTCTTAAGGAAAAAATCTTTACAAGCAAGTCCTATTGAAGAATCAAGTTCTTTATCTGCCAAAGGGAGACTATTCTCTCAAAACACTTGAGAACATTATTTTCAGGTAGACCAGTCAGACAGCATACTCCTCAGTATCTCAAACACCCATAAACCAAACCTAACATATTTCACAACGTTGCTCTTTCAGGTATACCTGTGACTCACAGTTTGCTGGTATTTAACATTAACATTAGCAGGAAGTTAACCTGTGCCAAGAAAAAAATGTTAACACATGGCTTTTGAGGGTACTGTTTTAATAAGACATTTATTCCTCCTGGAATTTGTTAGCTAATGAGGCCCGACAGAAAAAGCTCACTTTTGGATGACTTTGTAATTAACATGTCTTCGTAAATTTGGAGGTCAGAACTTTGCTCCGAAAAGCTCCTTGAGTTAGTTTGTAGGTTTCAGTTAATGTATCACTAAATATCATCACGCCACCCGTGCCTGCAAAGTATCCAGGGCAGGAACTCCCAAGGTAGAGAGACTGGAATCCCTGGTGGCTAGGTGAGGCACAGCCCTAACAGGGCATCTAATAGTAATTAACATAAGCATCCCATCAGCAGTTTCTGTTTCTGACACTAGCATTTCTTGCCTTTTCTTTCAGATTCCAACCTGGCCTGGCTGCATGCACAGCAAAGGTCTGAACTCCTGTTCCCCTGTGTCTCAAGCTGGATGTTCAGTCTGGTTGAACGGTGTCTTGCAAGAGACCAAGCTTACAGCTCGGATTTAGATTCACCTTTTCTGCAAGGGCTTAACATTCCTAACTACGACAAACATAACTGATTAGGTCTTGATAGACTAGCTTCATATGTTAAAAAAACAAAGACCACAGATCCAAACTGGTATCCTCTTTACAAAACGGTAAGAGTAAAGAAGCCCTGTTACAGAGAAACAGAGAAGCAGAGAAATTCATCTTACCAACTGTTTCACTTTAACCACCTGCTGAGCACCCACTGACTGCCCAACGATGGAGTTCGGCTGCGAGATTTTAATACTGATTGGGGTTCCAATGACTGGTTTCAGAGGGTGGAGAGGGGTTGTTGCTGAAGGTGCCACTGTGGAGACCAGCAGTGGCTTTGCAGACTGGAGAGAAGATGCTACTACCGCAGAGGTGAAGACTGGCTTGACAGTTTGGATAGCAGTCAGCCCTGACGTTGCTACTGTTGTGGTGAGGGCTGAAGTGGCAGGACGAAGAGATGCTGTCACCACTGCAGAGGCAGGAACCGGCCTCACCGTCTGCAGAGAAGCTGTCGTCGACGCACTGACAAGGACTGGCTTTATAACCGGAGAGGCTGTGACTGTTACAGACGCAGACACTGGTTTTACAACTGGAAGAGAAGTTGTTGCTACAGCCGAGGTTGCCACTGCTATTGAAAGAGCTGGTGCTGCAGAGGTACAAGTGGAAACAGCTTCTTGGGTTGGAGCTGGCTGCTGCATACACTGCTGGATAAAGCTCTGAGCATTGGGCATGAGCTGCCGTAAGGCAAGCATGCTTTTCTAGAAGAAAAACAAAAAAACACCAGACGTAACATCAGCAGAATCTTCCACAATACTGATACATTAGCAACTGAGTCTTCTTCGTCATGTTCCAATTTAATTTTTCTTGAGACAATAAACTGCTAACACCAAACAACTTTGCTAGAATTCAGGCACCCTTAAAGTGATGACGATACTGCTCAGCGAAGACCACAAGAATAGCCAACACAGGCTGAGCAAAGGTCAGTCACCACGGCTTCACTGCACGTAGCACATCCCGTCTACAGGGAACCTCACCCACAACTTCGTTCTTTTGTTTAGATTTTTCAATTTGAAATTTGTGTTCTAGAAAGAGACCATTTTAACTGTTTTACCACCCCAAAAAAACCTGTTTTGCCAAAAAAACCTGCTATATTATAACAGCTGTGTTTATTCCAAGGAGCTCGTCTAATAGAACTACAAATTATCCAAAAAAGTCAGAAATAAACTCTGAAGATATGAGCACTTCCATTCCAATACAGCTGTATCTACACTAGGGGGGGATACCACTTTAATAATGCCTGTATAGCTGCAGCAGCACAACTTAAGCCAGATAGTTCTCTGCAACAGGAAAACATTAGTAAATGTATCTGACAACACCTCATTTTTACTGCAGCTATGTTTGAGAAGGTTAATGGACAGAATAATCTTCAAGCTCTCTACAGATTTTTCTCCTTGACTATTTACAATCTGTTATGGCTCAGAACCAGGGGAAATCAGTTCTGCAGCTAACTGCATATTCTCACAAAACTTCCCCCCAACAGTTTTTAAACTCTTTGTAAGAGTCACCAGCGCAGTGCTGTTCCTCTGGGCTTCATGCAAAAGAAACATGTTGTCTCACATGCTAACATACCGAGTGAACAAATTGTTTGCACACCTGGACTTTCTGTGGCACACCTATCTTTAACGTTCACTTCGTTTTCTTTTAACAGCATGCTCAGCTTTCCTCCTGCTCCTGATACAGTTTATTTACCAAAAGCATCCAGAACAGATCTGAAAATCAAGCAGGCTTTATGGCCAAAGTCACTGCACTTTTCCATGTATTGGAACAGACAAAACAAAACATGTGCTACAACTTCATCAAAAGCTCGCAGCTCAAAGACAAAAGACAACTCCACCGAGTTCTCCCTAAAATTTCACTTCACTAGCTGAAAGTCAGTTGGGAATAAACCATATCGCATTTCTTTCTGGACTCGAGCTGCAAGCGTTTCCCCAGCAAGCCAGGCCAGCACCGATCCTCATGGCACCTTAGAGCAGTGCTCCTGAAGTCACCTTCCATGTAGCACTCAGTGCTGTCACAGCTGCTCAGCATTACACACCAGTTAAGTCTGGTCTGTTATCAACTACACATCCTTAAAGTATTTCAGAAAAAAAGCAATCAGGGTGCAAGGTGTTTTAAAGGATGGTAATGTTACAGTCAGCTAGCACTGTTTAGTCACTGTCATGGTCAAAGTTTTTGAAGTCACTACCAGTACTTCATTGTTCATACAGAGTACAACCGGGTGAGAGCATCCTGCCAAGTATTACGGCGTACGGATACTGCCCAAAATAGAAAAGCCTAAATGATACCAGCACCTGGAGCACACCGCAGGAGAACTGGGCAACAGCTCTGCTGTGATGGGTGAGGGTCTGCCCCACGCTGATGAACCCAACTTAATTCCTGTGGAACTGTCCCTAGGTCTGTGCACCACACGTAGCAGCTCTCCGCTTTGTGGGACAGCTTGTGAACTTGGGCCAAGCACCTCCACCAGCGCAGGAGGACTGTGCTGTGCCTGAGCTAGGAAACCCTCGCGGGGTTTACCCGAAGGGGTAGAGGCGTTAGCTCTCAGCTCAGCTCCTCTGCACGGACTGGCCCATGGCTCACGAGCCCCAGACGAGGTCTAGCCATGCCAGACTTCAGCTGGGTCTGCGCAAAGCCACTGAGGTTCACTCACACTGTTTTGGGTGCAGGGGCACCTGAGCCAGCCCCACACACACACAGCCAGCCCACGTCCAGTGGGGCTCATCAGCTGCTTCTGAAGCCCAACCTGCCCTGGCAGCTAGTAGACCTCTGCTGAGACTCCACGCAGCTCACACAAAGCCTCTGCCAGTCACACTGATCCTGCATTCACAGCCTGGGCCTTCTACAGCCAGGGCTACACTGGATGCACCAAGGTGCTGAGCTATCACGGCAACACAGCTGGCAAAGGGTCTGGAGAACAAGTCTCATGAGGAGCAGCTGAGGGAACTGGGGCTGTTCAGTCTGGAGAAGAGGAGGCTGAGGGGGGACCTTATTGCTCTCTACAACTACCTGAAAGGAGGTTGTAGTGAGGCAGGTGTTGGTCTCTTCTCCCAAGTAACTAGTGATAGGACAAGAGGCAGCGACCTCAAGTTGCATCAGGGGAGATTTAGATTGGATATTAGGAAAAATTTCTTTACTGAAAGAGTGGTCAGGCATTGGAATAGGCTGCCCACAGAGGTGGTGGAGTCACTGTCCCTGGAGGTGTTCAAAAAATGTGTAGATGTGGCACTTTGGAATATGATTTAGTAGGCATGGTGGTGTTGGGTTGACGGTTGGACTTTATGATCTTCGAGGTCTTTTCCAACCTTAATGATTCTATTTTTTTTTTTTTTAAAGCTTTTGCATGGGCTTTTAAGAAACCTCCAGGGAATTAAACAGAGAATAAGAAAGTAACCAATATGAAAATTTTATATCAAGCCCTGCAGAAAAGACTGCAGTCTTCTAGACTCCTAGCAAACTTCCTAGCAAAGCATTTAAAGGCTGCCACTGTAACAAAAATACTCATCCCACACTTTACCAGATTAACATCAGCCATCTGAAGTACTATCAACATTATTACATGCATTGCTATACATGCTATCAAACACTGAGTAGACATATTCCAGAAAACCTCTGTTCCAGCTTCAGCACTGAACTTATTCTTCCTTGATTCTCAACCACGCCTATAGTGAATGGCAAGCAAAAGTACAGATCTGTCAAGTCTAAGAATACTATGTGCATTGCAACTAAACATAACCATGCTTCCACTGGAATTCAACGCTTTCTATACAAAGATGTTCATTTTTGTTTTGATTGTTAATAAACCCCATTCTACCATATGATTTAAAAAGACCAGATTTTTTTTCTGTTTGTATGATTACTTGCTTGAATGTAGGTAGAGTTATCCTGGGTTACTCTTCCTCAGTTGTAGCAATCCTGTCAGACTCTGGAGACAGGGATGGGGTTTTTTTCTGCCTCCAGTTAAACACGAACAGCAGACACACGAATACTAGCTTTATGTGGATTCTCTATGCTTAAATGCTGCCTCAGCTGTGCACAGCCTCTGTTGTCAGTCTTCTGTATTAGAATTTAGTATAGCTACAGTTTTGAGGAGAAAGTAAAAGGTTGTCTTCGTATAGCTGCTCTACTGTAGATGCACCAGCTTCCAAAACATTAGTCTCCACTCATGACCAGAGCATAATTACTTTCCAATTTAAGAACACAGCATAAATTACTCCTCTGCAATCCTCCCCTCCCCTCAAAAATTGTCTTTCCAAGAGCAACAGTCACACAGGGCTAGGTGAAGCACCATTTCCTCAACTGACCTGAGCAAATACCTCTTTGAATGCTCTGACTCTGTTCTTTCCTTTTCTGGTCCTCCTTCCTCTCCGCAGTAAATACTATACATCCACAATCAGACACTTACCTTGAGAAAAGGAACTAAATACGGTTGTGGAGACGACTTGAGTTCTATGTATAGCTTTTTTGTAAATTCTTCTGGTTCAATTTTTGCTTCCTAAGAGGAAAGTATAATTACAATCATAAGTTAGACTATGAGTCTACGGTATTTTTTTCCCAGGTCTATCAAAAATTCATGGAAATTTACATCATTGTGGAATTGTTCAATGTCAATACTGAAATGGTTTTTCCTCTTATGCTTTTAATCAAAAGGTTTTAGGGTAGAATGTTCTTATAATTTAGATACAGTATTATCAAATTCAATTACTTTCTTCAACTCCAGGCAGGTAACACTTGCGGATACTTGTTCAAACACCTCACCGAAGTGAAGTGACAGAAACAAGTTTGTAAGTAGGGCTGAGTAGCAATGAGTACCTCATTGTTATGAAGAAATAGTTAAAATCCACCCCGGAGTACTTTTTCGGTGTAGAAGTAGTTTATCTGCATAAAGATCAATTTAAAGAGACCAGAGACAAAAGACAACTCTGTAGTTTTTGCAAGACAATTCTAGTCTAATGCATCATAGCATAATAAAGCAGAATACTTAACATAGTCTTTCAAAAGCAAGAGAAACTGAACATCAGAACATTACTTCTGCATACCACTATGGTGACAGTCCTCTGGCTTGCAGAGTATCGTCTGCTTTCTTAACACTTTCCACTCTGCTCCAACACAAACATCCGACTCGAGGGCTTGGGAGGGTTAGGAAGCTGCAGCAGACTTCCCACACCCCTCACTCACTACTTCAGCGCCACTATGACAGGGCTAGGGTGGTGACAGACACTGCTGCCCTTCCTCACCCTCCCGAGTGAGACCCTGCCACAGAGTCACCAAGAATGTTACCTCCTCCAAGAAGGTAGAGACACACAAGGCAGAAGGACCCCAGCACCTACGTATGTCTCTGCTGAGAGACTCCTCTCGCCCATGTTCTCCTTCGGAACAACCCTTCCAAGGAGCTACATGACCAGAGCAGGGGGTTTAAGGAACGTATACTGACAGACAAACAGAACTTACAGTACCTCTCCTATCCAGTCATTTGATCTGCTGCCTGTTAGGTCTCACTGAGCTGTGGATACAGGTCACCAAGGTCTCACTGATTGATGCAGATGCTGTGCTTTGGCACGCTACATCTCAGTGCATATACAGCTCTTGACACCCACTTCATAAGATGCTGCCTTAAGGACCATTTTACTTCACAGCTGCCATTTACTCATTTCCCTCATGCATATGAAACATTAATTTACTTTGTATTTACATCGTACACACACACTGAATGGCAGAACAGCAGCGTTTTTAACATATTACATAAAGCAAACTAATGCACAGTTAAATGATGTATTAATGTCTGGTAACAACTGTTCTTAAAAAAAAAAAATAAAGTACTGTAAGCACAAGAAAGAACAATTCTAGTATTTTCCTGCAGAACCAAGATGCATGGTCCAGCAGGGACACAAACGCAGTGGAAGAGGAGGAATCCAACAGTTTTGCAAGACTGCATCTTAAAAAACAATCTGCTCTCCAAAATTACGACTCCAACTGCCACGCTTTTCTAGACTGAAAAGTCCTTTGGTACCACTAGCAAACCCATCCCTCTCCACCAGCCCACAGCCTTCTGCTACAGTGGAACAACAGAACAGCAGCAGCGGTCAAATGCCAAGACAAGAAGCGGCAGGAGAAATCATTACCAAAACCCAGCTGTGCTGGGGTACAGCACAAAGTGGCATACAGAAGCCACTTGGAAGGAGAAAGAGGATGGCACACTATTTTCTTCATCCCTTTGTCTAAAGACATACTTGTTCCACTGGAGCTTCACTGAACCTGTAAGTCATTTCTGTCCTGCAGTAACACAGTAGTATGGACTTAGCACTGCACTACAACCTCCACAGTAATACTCTTGCCATTGAGGACTCAAAACTACACTAACATGAAAAAAAAAGCAGCTCAGACCCAGAAGCTGTGTTAATACTGTGAGCTCCTCCTGCTGTCAGTCACCTGTGTGCATAGAAGAGAAATGTCATGGGGGAAAAATCCAGCATGGGATCCAGCTAAAAATAAGAGTTATGATGTAAGACTTAAAGAGGTTCAGATGTACTCAGCCACAAACCCAACTCTTCAGCTGTTTAAAAAAAAAGAGATAAGGGAACAAAACTATGATGAAGTCAATGTCAAAAATGATACACAAATGATACACTTTGTTTTTGAAGAAGTCTCACCAGTAGATTTTGCACCAGATTCTTCACATTCTGCCCCATCTCGGGGGCTTGAGGTCCACTAGATGCCAGTTTTATTAGCGTGGCAAGAAAATTCTTGCATTTCTTCACATTCTCTAACATCTCCTAACGCAGAAACAAAGAGAAGACTGTTAGATGTTGCATCGGCTCTCCAACCTCTGATGAATACAGAGAATGTTAATTTTTAATTAAAAACATTTTTTTTTCCCCCTTACTGTAGAAGCACTGGTCTCTGCCACTGTTGTGCCCTCTGCTTTCACAGAGACTGCCTTTTGGGAGATAGCTTGTGCAGGTGGTCCTGTAACTGGAAGTTTTACAGGTGTTCCAGTACTCAAAGGCTTTACAGCAGTAACTGTAGTAACACTAGCTGTTGCAGCTGCTGGCTGAAAAGAAAAATTAACACTTTTTAACCAAAGACCAATGTGACAAACACACAGCATTCTGCTAGCATACAAGGTAGCACCCTCACTCCACACTTATTTTAAAATATAAATAAATTACTTATATTTGTTTTTAAAGTTTGGATTCCTATGCTTTGAGAGGCTCTATTTAATAGAGTGACAGAACCCTCACAGCCGCATTTCTGTTTTCAAATCAAGGGCAAGAAGCAACAAAGGCTCACCCAGACTGAAGCACTGCCTGCAACTTCAAGTGAAGAGAGAAAGGTAAAGTTGTCTTGAAGAAATCAATAGATTAACTTTGCCAGGCTCCTACAGTCTAAGACTAATGAACTTTGGACAATGCTAAGCCAGCCAATACTGCTCTGAAGATAAATACATCCTTAAGCGATTATTTATCTTCCTTTCTTCTCCTGCAGCTCCTCCTGCAACTGCAATATCCCTTACTCTTCCCATCACACATGCAGTAAAAAAACTTCCATTTTGGAAGGCCGTGTACATGACAGCAGCAGCAGCCAGCTGGGCAAATGCACCTGACAAGTTCTTCCTGCCTTTTCCTTGTGAGCAGCAAGTTGGATCTCTCTCTCCTCTGCCCAGAACACAAGCCCTCACAAATTTCAGTTACTGTAAGACCTCTTTTAAAAATCTCTTTAGAATTTACCAAAAGATTCAGAAGCTCCAGCAACAGGAGAGTAATGAAGGTTCAGGAAAAAAATAAGAACACAATTGCCTCTTTCCTTTGCAAGCCACTCTAAACAGTAGTTTCCAGAGGAAAACCTACCAAACGTAGTATTTCTACTTCAGATTTTAAAGAAGAAAAAAAAAAAAAGAAAAAACCTCACATAGTTCTACAACAGAATACAATATGAGTAAAAGACTTTGCCTCTACAAAACCCATTACTTCCGATTTCTCAACTTGAAAACTAAAAAATCAGATTGAACCTGTAGGTTACAGAAAAACAAGAGTTTCAGGTTAGCATTTGAAACCTGAAGTTGGGTGCTGTTTTTCCTCCAAACCTCTCAAAAGAAAGGGAAAGTCTGGTTTTGTAGGCCAAATCCTAGGTTCTGATCTGTGCAACATAGTTGCTTTCACTGACTCTTAACACACTTAAACATCATGGTTTACTCCAGCAATCACAAATTAATACGTGCTAATTGCATTAACAATAAGACAGTAGCATAAGAGCTCAACTTACCCTACCATGAATAAAACAAGAACTAATCAGAGTTGGACAGACACCATGTAGAATATCAAAGGGCTTTTAAGTCTTTCAGGATAGGGAAAATTAATGAACGAACATTTCAAGCTAAAGCGAAACACTGTCACTTTTGTCATGTATTTATAAATCATTTTTTTTCCCCAAGTGGGTGCCCCCTTTCCTCCCCAAGCTACAGCCAGCTTGGCATGAAAGAAGCAGGCAGCTACCAGAAAGCTTTCCAGCTTAGGCTCCCACTGTTGGTAACACTTTAACGGCTCTCTGCAGGATCTTTGCCACCACTGCTGCCTCTTCCAAGGATGAGGCTCAACAGCTCTAAGACCACAGGGAGGCAAACTGGGCATGCGAATCCCACAAACAGATGGACGGGAGGAAGACGGAAGGGGACAGAGTGCAGATCTGTCAAGCTGCAATGCCCTGGGCTTTTAAAAGCCGAAAACGTGAGGTTTGCGGGAGCTGATCTCTTGCAAATTCCAGCGTGTCTACACGTCAAGGCCAGAACGGCATTTTATCAGGCAAGGGAGGGAACAACAGGAAGGCTGCTGGACGCTTTTCCCAGGAAGACAAATATATGGGAATTAACTTCTGTCATCTGCCCTCAACCTTTTTCACTACTGACAATTCTCATTCTCACTTCAAGCAACAGAGAAACAGTCACCACAAAAAAATGGCACTAATCCTGCATATTTTGAAGTCATTTCAAGAGAAGTGCTCTGCATCTAAATGAAAGTGCCCCAGCATGATGCTAATTAGATACTTTGCAGCTTCAGTTACCCCATCTGGGAAGAAGGTAAAAAAATACAAATGTGCAGGTGTTTTGTCTAACCTCAGAGCTTAAGCATTCAGGGATGACAACAAACAGAAATATTTTTGTAGATGAGGAGAATAATCCTGGAGTCAGTAACTAGCGAGAGTTTTGCAGATAGTAGTGTTCCAAGCTGTACTTATCACAGGATAGGAGATACACAACTAAGCCAAGGATTATTTCCTCACCACAGTCTCACACTTTTTGTGATGACATCATATTTCCACACCAACACTCCTCTCCTGCGACTTCAAAAAACTGTCAAGACTAACAACAGCAAGTTCTCTCAGGACTGGTGAATTAACCGCTGCCAAGGAAAGCAGACCCAAGCCCTTACATATGGACTCCCTTGTCAGCACTCCTCTCTTGTCCACCCCAGGGTGAGGAGTGGAGTGGCCCTGAGATGGCAGGATGTATCCATATTGCACCTCTTCAGCCTTTATCGTATGAGGAGCTGGTACAGCAAAGCTTTGTAATTCTCTGCAAAACAGAGGGGCTCCAAGGACATTGCTCCAAACCAAAGAGCACTAATATTTTTTCCTAAAGTCATTGTTCCTGCTGTTTACATCCAGCCCTTCCAGTTCATTAGAAGTGTTCAAGATTCTACAAGGCAAAAAAACACAGCTTATAAAAAATACTCCATGTCTACCTCTTTAAACATCTCAGAACACAAGTTGAACTGATTATATCAAAACTGAACTAAGAAAGTACAGAAGAGCCAAATCAAAGACAGATGTAAGTTAAAAAAGGAAAAGTTAATAGCATGATGAATCTCCATGTTTATCCACATGAGAGTGTGAGGATGCAAGCAGCTTCATCCATCAGATGGAAGAAATCTTTGCCTTCACCTCTTCTACCCAGTGCAAGAGTAGTATAGCAGATGACTACCACTTTATATCCTAAAGATATAAAGAGAACACAAGCACATGACTTGCAAGCTAGTATTCCAAAATAAAAGGGGGTAAGGAATACCTGCTATTGTTCTTAGACATGAAGCATATGCTGTTTCCATTCTAAGCAAAACAGAAAATGTATTAAGAGAGGCCTCTGGGTTTTCCCCTTCAGCCCCACCATTATTTATCTGCAGTGAGAAGGAAGAGAAAAAACACAGAGCTATGAATAGTTTTCAGTTGCTGATACAGAAGAACAGCAGGAGGACAAATTTGTAAGTCAGACTGTCAGTTACCACTGTCAGCAAATATATCCCCCAATCCTTCAAACACCCTCAAGGTCAAGAACATGTGTCCACGTTTTTTTGAATTACTGATCCTGCTCATTTACTGAGTGCTTGGTCAACCACTACAGCCCAGTCTCCTTTAAGCTCTTGTTCACAAAAGATCTGTACAAACTAGATTTCTTCCCATTTCTCCTCCAGTTTGACGACAGAGTATTTTAGCTGCAGAAAGAAGCAGTTTTTTCCTCACAGGTGCTTATCCAGAACTCTGGTCCCCAAGTACATAAGATGAACTGTATCCAGGAGAAGTCTCACACTCTACAAGTGGCAACAGCCTCTTCAGAAGAGTCCTACATAATTTTTCTCTGGAAAAAGACAAATAAGACCTAGGAAATAAGACAAAAGCACTGCCTAAAAATAATGAGGCATTTCCAACCACTGCCTATTTACAGTTGTATCTGTGGAATCTGTCCGCCCAATTAGAGAACAAAGGTCTTCAGCTATGACCTTCCTTTAGTTTTTAACAAGAGAAAAAACTGTACACATGAAAACTAGCTTGACTGGTACAGACAGCTCACTTTCCCCTCAACATCTTGTGTTTACTTCATTTTTCCCTAAGGAATCGGGGACCCCAACAGGAGAGAGCATTAGTAGGTCTCCATCTCCCAGAAAAGCTTCAGGTAGAGCTTGAAGGAGCTCTGTCACAAGGTATAAAAGTGCTGGAAATGGCTCTCTGAACTATTTTATCCATTGTTCATGGGCTTTCTACTGTAGTGAGAGAAGATGATCTCACACAAACTGGTAGAAGCATAATTAATTTATGCATTTCAAAAAAAGAAATTCAGGAAAGGATTTACTGTGAGGACAACAGTTACCAAACTTACTGAAAACCAGATTAGAGTTAGAAATAACAAGAATGCATCCATATTTTCTTCACTTCTCTGTCACTTGTCCTTATTCCATACTATAAAGCTTGCCACCTACCTGCATTACAGTAGGTGGCTGAACAGAAGCCGCAGCATTTGTTGTTTGAGATAATGTTTTCACAGGAGTAGCTGCTTCTTTCTTTAGTAACTGGGTGCCAGAGTTCTTAAAAAAAAAAAAAAGACATTACGCACACGCAGAGAACAGTTGTCAGACAACTCAATGACAAAACAGACACTGAAGTTAGCAGGAACTAACTTGTCTGATATAAACCAAGACACCCACTCTTACAGAAACAATATAGGCATCGGTCACGTATCCCATACAGTTTAAACACTGTTCAAAGCTATCTGTCTACCAGCTTTAATACTGAAGAAGAGATTCAGCAATATTTAGTCACAATGCCTGATCAGAACAAAATGCTTAAAGGATGAGCATGTTGGCGAGACCTATGCAGATGGTTACTTTTTTTGTACCCACTCTTACTCTTGCATGCTGACCACATTACAAGAAATGGAAGCAAAAAGCCAGCAGGGCTCAGTGGAGGAGGAATATCCTGGGGACATGGGAAAGGTCCTCGGCTTCAGAGAAGTATCCCACCAGAGCATCACAAGGTTGCAGTTACTAGCAGTAACCATTTAGGCATGTTTTCTAGGTTTGGATTGTTTTTTTTCTTAGAACCCTTTACATCATCATCATCAGAGGAATTCCTTAATTCGAACTATACCATATATAATGGCTAGCAGTTTTTTTGCACACTGAGAAAACAAAGCACAGTGGCGTTTATGTGCAAAACCAAACACCATCACACTGTACGGAAAGCATTCAAACACTTGTTTAACCCTCCATGACTTATTGAAAACCCTGTTGTAACTACATAACATATAGCTATGTCAAATTAAAGCTATGAGGGAAGTTACCTGTACAGGACATATTCTGATTGTAGGTGTGCTGGTCGGTACAGATGGTCTCACGTTTGTGTTATTTTGTGGCTGACTCTGTGCTCGTGCTATTGCTTGTTGAGATACTAGCATTAGCTGGCCACTACTGCTTCTGATAAGAACAGTTCCTGTTGGAGAAAAACATTCAGACTGTTAGAAATTGAGCGATATTATGGCTTTCCTATGCTTCTGTGGAAGAAGTAGCTAGACCACACTAATAAGATAATATTTAGTTTCTTACACGAAGGAACAGCTGCCAAGAAATGTAAGAGCTCAGTATACATCAGCTTTATTCTGCATTTTATGACAGAAAACAATTCCTAAAGTCTAGAGAAAAACTTAACTAGACAGCCATATTGAAACACTACGTGCATACAAGATGCAAGCTGCAAATCAGTTCATCGTCTGAGTCAAAAAAGATATTTGGGACATCAGGAAGACAGACATCCTCCTCACACATGCTCTGGGATTACTCTAAAAGTAACTGCTTTAAGCAGTTCCTCAACCCGCAAAATTCACTATCAGACTTGACCGTCTCTATATATTTTCACTTTCTGAACATTTAGGCGCATACTTACAGGTGAAGACATGGTTTAAAGGAAGCCTGGAGTGTGAACTGAGACCTGACTAATACCGGTTCACCTGCCCCTATCGTGACCCCCCGCCTCAGTCAGGCGCAGCGGTCTCCAACGAAAGCCGAGGCCACTCAGGCATCGGAAGCTGCCCCTCTCACAAGGGTCTGTCCAAAAACATTAAAATGCACAGTTTTAATCAAAGTGGCTTGCAGCCAAACAGGGAGATTCCAATGGGAAAGAAACTAAAAGAAAGAGATTCTTCTGCCTTGTTTCCTTGCTTTTTTATGTTTCCCCTTCCAACCTACAGAAATGTCAGCCCATCACGATTTAACTCCTACCACCTTCCTCCTACCCTGTTAGCTAAAACGGCAAACAATTAAACAGCTAACATACAATGAGTATTTTTACTAGAGGTTTCAAATGAACACCACCCTGAGGAGAATCAGCCAGATGCCACAACGCAGTCCCATTTCCCCATGTTTGGAAACCATTCAGCTACCAATGCCGCCGCCTCCTCATGCCCAGCCCCTAGGGGCTTGGCTCTGGCAAACCCACGCCTTTCACTAGGGTCACAAATGCAAAATGGCGGCTGGATCCCTGCTCCTGGCTCCAGCCTCACCTCTTCTCCCCACCACCAAGCCCCCTGCTGCCAAACACCTCACTTCGTGGAGGCCTCCCACAGAAAAGCAACAGGGAACATACAGGAGAACGCCAGATACGTAAACAGCAGTACGTCAACATTTTTGGAGGGCTGCATTCAACTGTCTTGCAAACTGTCCAGTATCTGAAGAATCACAGATTGTCTGTGAACGCTTACAATCTTTCCCAGTGTAGAACAAGCCTGCATCAACAGAACACTCTTTTTACTACCTAGTCTGGAAGCTGTCAAAATATTGCTGTACAATACAGTCTAAAACACTGCTTCTCTCCGAGTTTAAATGAATACAACAGCAAAAGCCACAAGCTCCATGAGTTGGGTTTCGTTAAAAAAATAAAAAAAATCAGGCTATAACCACACGCTTACAAACAGCTTTTCATCCTCCACATCTAAAAGCGTAAGAGGATATTGCAAGACAACACAAAACTTGGTATAAAATTCTGTAACATCAACATACTGCCATTTACACAGCACACAAACAGACTGCAAGAGGAGCATCTGGAGCGATTCCCTCCTTTCTCAAGCAGCCTTTACTAGACGGGGCAGATGCACGAGACAGCTGTATATCCAGAAAAATACTGTTACTCCATCTGACAAATCAGCTTTCGCCTCCTCCACTGAAGTCTTGACTATAATTATATATAGGTACAGATGGATCTTTAATTTAATCATTGCATACCTGGTATCATAGAAAACATCTCAGATTTCTAATTTTCTTTTCATGACATCTTATTTAGATAGTGATTCATGGCATACAATTCATCATCAGTCAAAAAAGGGCATTTTTTTCCCTCGTTCACATCACATGCTTATGCAGATTCTAGGGGAAGAGAGTAAGCTGATGATACCACACATTTTGATAGCAGTAGCGTTTCTCTCTGCTCTAGGCCTAAACTCAGGATGACAGACGTGTTGCTACTGGAGGTTTCAGACTTTTCTAAGCTTGCTTAATTCCATTGCTAGCTCTACTCTTTGAAAAGGCACACAAATTTATAATTTAATTCCTTTAGAGATTTGGATGCATTAAGTGTTTTGTGTTCATGTATTTGGGAGATTTTGTCACTACTCATTACATTTGTTTTTCAAGCCAAACTGTCAGAAGCACCATTTCTACTTCCCCGAGTCATACTGCATATCAGAAACATCACCATTACCAGTCAACTCAATTACAGGGTTGGGGTGAGTTTTTTTGCACTGCTGTTCCGAAGTTTCAGTCAGCATTTGCCAGAGATGAAGACCCTGCCTGAAGAGTATCCCATCCTCCAGTCACTTGAATGGGGAGAGTTTTCAGCAGACTCCACATGATGGGACATTAATTCAAGAGCAACACCGCTAGCAAGCTTATACAAATACAATACAGTCCATATGCAAATTCATTAATATCTAAAAAAAAGTACACAAAAACCAACCACCACAAATATTGACAAGTCCCAGTAGTCCCTTTACATATAACCCTGACTGCAATGATCCCAACAGCACTGTACCCCAAAACATAAATCAACTTTCCTGCTAGTAACAGGGTTAGTCAATACAAGGACATCCATACTTTAGAAAACACTGTAAAATAACTTTAGGCTCATTCTTGGTGAGAGCATCCACATAAGTAGTTAGCTAAGGCCACTCCAGTCAGTGGTCATAGCCTGGATTGGAACATATGACTAAGATGATGCCTGTTTACTTCCATATAAGTTACGGTAAGAACTTGTTCCACTTGGAACAAACATTAATTTTCCTGTATTTGTTCCATTTGGCAGAATTTTCGATATGGTGGTAGCCTTTTCATGTTGGCTAGCAAAAATAGAACTCCAAAACCAATATTATGGTAGTCTATTAGCTACTGCTTTGGTAGGCTTAACACTGTAAATGCGTGATGCTAGCACAAATAAAACTGAAGGCAAATTTGAAATGACTGTCATAGCTGTCATACAGATCCATACAGTGAAGAGCCACAAGACATCACTTCAATCATGAAACACGCAGTTTTGGGCAGTTACAACCTAATGTCGCGAAGTGACAGTGAACTGACATGTGGATTGTCTGAAACGGTTTGAAAGCTGTTGAGAAGGGCATTTATTTTTCACTTCTGGTTGCCGCAATTTACTTATGCTTTTTCACAACTTAAAAATACCCCCAATCTTTTGATGCTCTCTTTCTGCCTTGAAATAAAAGCAACGATCCAACACTGAAGTCAATAGTGCAGGCTCCAAGAGGAAACACAGGAGGTGTCTTCTGCCAGAAGCAAAGGTTCCACAGCACGCACAACCAATGCGTGAAGCCTCATACACCACATACAGCTGCACAAGTGTGAAATGAGGGAACAGCAGGTGATGGTAACCTTGAGGTTCTCAACAGAAAGATCACAAACAGGCTCATGCAGCTACCAAGATGCTACTATCAGACATGAAGAGAAGTGCAAGAATGCACATTCTTCACTTGGGGGGGGGCGGGAAGATACTATTTCTTATCAAGAGCTGTTTTCACATTCACTAGAAGGCAAATTTTTGCAAAACTAAACATGAAAACAGATCAGGTCTTGCAGTCATTGCAAGACCACGGGAAAACGGGGGGGGGAAACCTCTGAACAGCCGAAACAGTGAAGTTTCAGCTAACACCGCTCAGCATCGCATTTAAAAACAGAAAAGATATCTGCAGTCTCAGACCAAAATATCAGCACCAACTGTCGTTACTGAACAGCAACGAGGCATCTTTGTAACGCCAAGGTGCCCTCCTTTGGGCAGCCTTTCCGAGAAAGCAGTGTTTACAGGATACACAGTTTGACGGTTTTACTGAAGTTGTTTTGGAGAACAGGAAAGACTTTCTCACCACTCATGCACTTTGATAGCAAGAGTAAGACACAATCCTTTTGGGGCTACAAGGCTGGTCCTGTTTTCAGATCACAAGCAGAAAACCCAAGTGACCAGTTACTAGCAGGGATTAGTTCTCACATGCTTCGCTGGAGGACTTGGGTGTCTCTCACAGATTAACAAATAGCCCTCTTTACAATGAATTGAGACTTCTGTCTCTAGATATTCTGCCTGTCCTGACAAAAAACATCATTTGGAAAGTTATTTCTTTTTCTTGACTGCCAGAGAAGGCAGTTAAAAATCTATTTCAGTCCTTTCTTCCCTGCACACCTTCCTTTGGCTGCAGTCCTGCAGGAAGGCTGCAAGGGAAGGAACCAAAGCTACATGGAAGCAGCCACGTTACAGCTTCTCGCCTTGAAGAGGTCTCATTGAGATCTGTGCCCTTTCTCTCCAGTGGCACGCCTTCTCCTGGAACAGGGGCTGAAAGAACCATGCCTCCAGAAAGAGCACCTGGTCTCACTCCTGCAAAGCTCAGGCAACCACCACCCACAACAGCCTCTACCCAGGCACACCAGCAGTGCCTGCCATGCAAAACCAGAGGCCTCCTATTAAAATTCCATCTGCTATTCCAATACGAGATACCTCTGCTGTAAATTCTTTGCTGTTCCAGCACCACCAGCCAAGGAAATGTAGATTTTTCTGTACTTGGTTGTAATGCACTTGAAATTTTCTAAGCTGTAGCTGCGTTTAGCATCCAACCCAGGGATCAAGAAACCCAGGCTAGCAGGAGGAGCAGCTTCCAGATACCTCTTCATTGTAACTACAGACAGAGAACCAAAAACTCAGAGACATGAACAAGATGCTGTGGGATCATGGCAGAGATCTGTTCATGCCATTGCACGTAAGGCCAGCAAGCCCCGAATAAGCTTCACTATATTTCAGGGAATAGCGTTAAGGAAACCACATTGTCATTAACAAAGTTGTGGTGCCAACGGAAGCTTAGGGTTTCATCCAGCAGCACTGAACACCAATGTATGCTAAACACATCCCACCATAAGGGCAACTTCCACCATGAAATTTCTACCACGTAA